TGAGACAAGAACAGGCATTCTGGTCTTTGTCGTGCTGTCATGCTTGCAGGGCCTCTCAATCATATTCTGATTTCTTGTCCCTCGTGAGTTTTTGGCATTCGTTGTCCTGTTTTGTTCGACGAATCTTTGGTGTTCAGCTTCGTTGTCCTCTTGTCTGATTTCTGTTCTTTTGTTCTCTCTTTGCTGGCCTGCTGAGGTTAATTACTCCTAGCGGCCTTTTTGTGTTTTGCTTGTCAGACTTTCTTTTTGTTTATTTTAATACAATCGTGAGGAATGCGTTAGGGTGGCAACTAGAATTCTAGTAGCCAACTGTGGTTACTTCCGTATGCGCTGTCCATTCTCCTCTTTTTTGAATCTCACGGTTAAAACAGCTCTAGGGTAATTTTGGAAACAAAAAACGATCACACCAGATTATTCTATATATTCTATTCAAACCCTACTTCTACCCACCCCTTCCTCTAGTCAAACCTGCCTCAGCCAGCGGCGGATCCAAGACACAATAGAGCACTGGGCCGCATTTGAATAGAAAATTAGATATCATACAATGTCAATTGTACATGACGATCTTTTAATTTAGCGAATTCATTCATCCATACCAATAACATACTCTATCTCAAAGAAAATAGTTAAGCAATCAGCGAGAAATTCATCTGTCATTTTGTTGCGTAAATAAGTTTTCACATGTTCATTGCAGAAAATGTTCTCTCCGTAGTAGCTGCTGAAACGAGCTAGGTCTACACTAAACGAATCAACTAACTAATCAATTTATATTATGTATCCATCTCCGTTCCCACTAGCTTCTTTATTAATATGCAAGGGATTCCTGACTATGAACCACATGAGTGGCATACTATCGTAGATCATTCTTCAAAGAATGCATCTAATAGCCGTCAAAGTCTCGAGGATAAACTCTTGAGCAAGTTTGTAAATGTTTTATTCATCAAAAGACCTGAAAGAATTTATAGTATCTAGTTTACCACTCAACTGAAGCAATTTAAATGATGACTCAACAAGTTTGTAAATATTTTCTTCATCAAAAGAGTGAAAAGAAATCAGTGCTTGACAAACTAGCGAAGGATTCCGTTTCGGGTACATTCGCCTCCTCGTTCTAATTTTGTATTTTGGGGATTGTGGGAATTTTTTGAGTTCTGACAGAGAAGTGTGAGATTTCGTTTAGTGGTTTTTTTATATTAATGAAACTTTACAATTTTAGTATTTTATTTGTAAGACTTTAAGCTTTCATCGTTAATTTTATTCTTTTCAAATGAAATCATTGGGACAAGAATTTTTAGTCTAAATCTAGCATAGTGATTTGGATATATTCATTAGGACCATTTTGCAAGTTACACAAAATCATTATCAAATAATATTGGACCGACTTTTAAATATCACTAGGCCGAACACCTAAAATCAAAAAACTTATACGTAGTATACTAACTCTGGATCGGAGGAGGGCTGGGCCGTGGCCCGGGGTGGCCCAGCCCTAGATTCGCCAGTGGCCTTAGCCGCAAGCTCCCATTGTCGACGAAAGGCTAGCCAAACCCTACTTCTACCCTCCCCTCCCTCCAACCAAACGTACCGCAGCCGCAAGCTCCGCCGACTGCCTCCACCATCCCCGACGCACCAGCCTTGACACACGTCCCATAAACTCGACCATCCTTGACACACGTCCCATAAACTCGACCATCGATTCATATCATCGTCATAGCCTCGAGTATAGAGCGATATAGAGGGATGGAGAGACAACGTGCCATGGTTTATTTATATATATATATATATATATATATATATATACGGTTCAGGCTAGCGTACGTCAGTCGTACATTGTACGCCCGTCGTGTTTTATTATTTAGAGCACGAAATAATCGGAGTTTGGGGCATGATACTATACCATAACCTCTAATGGGTGAACTCCATTCCCTAATTCTCTAACTCAAGCCACAAGATTCATATAATATAAAAAATAATAATCGACGGTTCCGATTCAGCGAAATATATTGAAGTGCAAAAATAAAGTACTGTACGCCTGACGTACGCTAGCCTTTGCAATAAACTTAAATACCACTTACTGTTCACTAAGATAGTTTAGCTGGCAATCTGATTCAAGGAAACGCTTTTGCCAGTTGGGCCTATTGATGGGCTTTTTAACTTCTGAAATTGGATCGGATTTGTGTTAATGTGGGTCTTATATATTTTGGCCAATGCTAGAGTGCCGTTGTAAAAAATGCGTCACCGGTGACGCCGTTTCTCATTGGTCCACGTGTCACTGACTGGATTATCAAATTCTAACCAACCCAATTTCGTTGGCCCATTAGAAGTAACCCAAACCACCTATCCGGCTCTCCCAAACTAACGGCGGGGAACTCCTTATCCACCGCCAAGACATGTCGCCGATGATCAATTGTGAGGAAGCATCGAGCCTTTATCAGATCCTTCCCCGCTCTCATTCCTGCTCCCACTCCATAAAAATTGACCACTACCACCATCGTCTACTTCCCCAAAAACCACCGTCGTTATTCCAATTGCAGTAGCTGTTTATTATTCCCCACCAATTTCTTCCTCGGCGAGACCGCTCTCTCGCTCGGGGAAAACCATCATTTGGAATCAGTTCTTCCAGGTATAATCTTTGTTTGAGGATGTTTGGTCATTATCGTTGTTTGAATTATTGGGTTTCAATCTCGGCTCAAAATTGCTTGATTTAAGATCTGCCGCGGTGGTTTCAGTCTCCGGATCAGTTTTGAGTTTTGGGTTTACCTGAATTTTCACTATTCGAATGATGGTTTCAGCTGTTGCTTTATGCTGCTTTTGGGTTCCAGGTTTTTTATTAGCTTCCAGAGGTCGGGAGAAAGAGATGGAGGAGGTACTGGACATGTAGACGAGAGGGAGGAAGTAGCTCAGAAGAAAAATAACATAGTTGAGTCTATACAATGCCATGAATAAAACTAGGAAGAGTTACAAGCTGATTGTCCAAGGCAAAATCAGCATATGAGCAGAATAATGTTGGACTTGCTATGAAGTTGTTTCAAAGAATGCTAATATGTTCATATGACTATGGGTAATATTATTTCTGCATGTGCTAGTTTGGGAGCATTGATTAATGGAACCATCGGCAAACTCCAAAACTTGGAAATGGCACACAAAATGGACAAGATTATCCATAGAGTAATAAAGGAAAGGAGACTGCAGGAATGGAGAGGATCGTTTCAGTGGCATCATGAAGATTGTTCCTAGCTAGTGATGCTGATGTGAGCATACCAATTTTGCTTGCACAAGGAGCTACACGTACGTTGGTTCATTAGGTTCGAGATTAAAGTTTCTTTTATTTTCTGTGTTGTTATGCTGAGTGATGCAGATTACTGGCTTTTGTCGGACGCCGGTGTTAGCATCAGACATGTGGACAGCTGATCATTAATAACTAGAAGTTCTTACCTTCAGTCTATATAAACTTATGCTCTAGGAGCAGCGATCGATCACGATTCAGGATCATGAAATTTGAAAACAATCCTTCACTCATGAGTAGCTGAGCTTTGAAACCAGCAGCAGCAAACCACCAAATCCCCAAACGCAATTTGTATTGTTATAGACCGAGGAGTTAACTATTATGCTATATATAATTGCTAGACTAAGGATGCTGACATGGAACAAGTTTCAAATGATGGATTTGGATTCAGGCTTAGCTTACCTACAACTACTAATCTACGACTAATTAATCAGGATACACGGGGTACACCGGGGCAAGAACATTGCTGGCACAAATCGAAAAGTAGACAAACTTTATCTTTCATTAACTGGCAAAAAGAAACAGGCACAAAGACAAGATAAGATGAGCATAATATAAAACCTCTCTGCTGCTTGTTAAAACCAAGAAACAAGCCATAGCAAATTAAAACGACCCCAATAATCTCGTACATTCACAAATACACAACCCTCTATTTATTTGGAAGGCTTCTGATTAGGCGGGAAAAGTCACTCTGAACCTTCAGGAACTTGGTTTCGACATTTCATGAGGAACCACAAAGACCGAGGGGGATGACGCAGATGGAGGGCGAATCTCTTCTTTGTACTATGATGGCGGTGCTGCTGCACGGAGACAGAGGGATGGTGAAGGCGCGGGATTCGTCGCCCTTGTGTTCCAGAATAAATGAATGAGGAAATGTAGTCAGTGGAGCCATTTGGTAGATCCCGAGAATGTATTAACGACAGAGGTCTTTCTGTAGAATCCACCGGAGATAGTGATCAACGACGACGAGCTGGTTCACTCATGTTTATTTTTCCTTGGTTTTTGGCAACAACAAAAAATAGTTCGACAAAAGTAAAAGGAGTTATTTGGGAAAATATCAACTAAAAAAAAGCAAAACAGAAAAAACAATTCCGTCTGTTTGGTGTAGCGGCGGTTTGGTTTGTCGAAGGGTTAACGGGTTTGAAATGAATTCGTTCAACCCAGATCCATGCCACCTCATGTCCACGTGGCCCAATTAGAAAGCACGTTATCGGTGCCGCACTTTTTATAGCGGCACTATAGTATTGGCCATATATTTTAGGTACATTCTTCTTTTCTTTTCAAGTTTTAGATCCATTTCACTTTTCATAGGGAGAGAAGCAAAGCAAGCCATGAAGAGGCGATGGGAGGAAAATCTCGCTAGAAATGTGTTTAGGTTTTGTGGGTTGAAAAAAAAGGAGAAAAAATTATTAATTTATAACTCTTTGATATTTTTAACTAGGGGTGGGCAACGAGAAACGTCTATTTGGGTATACTCGTACCCGTTCCGTTTTTTGAGGGTAACGGGTACCCATATTACCCGTAATAATTTTAAAGGATGGGACTTGGGATTGTACACTCTTACAATGGGTACCCGGGGGTTACCCGCAAATACCCATTTGGGTAATATGGGTACCCGTTATACCCATTCATTATATAAATGCATAAAGCCCATTTCTCAACTCTCTTCAGGCCCGGCCCAGCCACAGCAAAATTTCCTAGAAATCTTTCGGCCTTTCCCCTAATTCCCTTGTCGACAGCTCTCCTCTACACTCGACAGGCAGGCGCACCTCGCAGTCAACAACTCAACTCTCCTCGATTCCTCATCTCCTCTAGTCCTCTCCGAGTCCGGCCTCTGTCCTCGACAGTCGTATCCGCGCAGCCAGCAGCTCAACTCTCCAAACGTCGCGGCAATCTGAATCTCCGTAACCCAGCCAGCCTGCTCTGTTCGGCGACTACCCTGCTGCGATTCCCCGTCGCCGACTCGCCGTAGCCCAGCCGACAGCCAACTAGCCTCAGCATCCATCGACATCGGTCGTCGCACTTTGGTCATTCCACCCAGCCGTCAACTTCTGATCATTTCAAGGTAATGAGTAGCGTCTTATTTGTTGTGTTGCGATTCTTACATAATTGCTTTTATCGCACCAATTACATGGGAAGCTAGGACACATATATAATTGTTATACCTAGTTGATTGGCAAAGATAATGACAAACTTATGGACACGGGACAGTTGGGTTGAACAGGTGCAGCGGCCAGCATTGAGCTTTCCCCTTATATATTTTTGCAGGTTGCAAATTATCGAAGAAAGACACCAACAGGTGGCAGGAGAATGACCAATATCACCTCTTGGAATGTCTCTCCAAGGGGATCAGTGGAAGGCAGATTGCAAAACAGCCAGTAGCTTGCCAGTTGGAATGCTTAGAATGCTTTATTAGTATGCTTTATTTCTTAATTAGTTGTTAAGCAGATTGTAAACCGAGTATTTGTAATGGTGTGATTGGGATGGATTTTATAATTCATATTGATTTTGTGATTGTTAAACAGGTACAAGTTATGTTTAAATTTTTGTTAAAGTTTTAGTGATTCAAACTTTGGGTATTTACGGGTATTATGGGTACCCGTTTCCCAAACGGGTTTGGGACATGGGATGGACTTTGCTCTTCAAACGGAATTGGGTACCCGTTTCAAACGGGACGGATATCCCATCCGGTTGCCCACCCCTATTTTTAACATATCTGGTCCATAGTTCTTTCATGTATTTTCACTTAATAAAGTTGTTTAACCTATCTTTTTCCTCTTTAAATGCTTGGTGGTACCTAAAGAGTAGCAACACTTAATTCATGCATTTTGACATTTATCAGGCCATTAGGTGGTAAATCATCGATGCTTATTCACTTAAATAGAAATCTAAAGGGTTAATAGCATTTTCTACCCCTCTACTATCACAAATTAACAAACGTACCCCTCTACTAATTTTTTGCACAAACGTACCCTTCTACTATTAAAACGTAACAAACATAATCCTCTGTCTAATTAGCCGTTAAACTACTGTTAAGTGGGCTGGTAAATGACTAAATTATCCCTAATTTGATGCTAAGTTAATTTTAATTATTATAATTCCCACTATAATTAAAAATAAAACAAACTCCTTAAAGAAACCCCTCCACCTAACGTGAAACCATCCGTCTCCCACTTGCCCGGCTCCCCTGAAATTCAGTCTCCCCTGAAGTCGGTCCCGTTTTCTCCTTGCCGTCGGCAGCCCCTGTTTTCTCCTCGCCGGCGGCTAGAGCAGGAAGGACAGCTCGCGATCCCCGGTTAATCTATCTTCTTCGCGCGAACACACAGTTCAAGGGTGGCGCTCGATTCTTCCAGCTTAGGCGACTGAAGCAGCTTGCTCTCCGTCATTGAGAAGGAATCTCTACCCATACAGCAATCGCCTTTCATAATAAATCCTCGGTGCATTGGTATTGCTGAGGTATTGTTTGTTTAAACCAAACCAATTATAATACTTTTAATTTTTAGTGTGTGATGGATATACGACAAATAGATCTAATTTAATATTGGTTGTATGTTGTGATTTTGGAATTTGGTAGGTAAAGGAAAAGTCCATCTGGAGTACCACTGTTAGTTGTTTGTGCGGCAGCAAACATGACTAATGAAGGAGAAAATGGTAGCGGGGCTGCTGAAAATGATAGTGCAGCTATTGATTATGAAAGTTCAGCTGCTGAAAATGTGAGTCTTGCAGCTGCAATTAATAATGAAGCGTGTGATGTCGATGATGAAGGTGAAGAAGAGAAGGGTAACACTGATAGTGAGTTTGAATTGAACCCAGATTGGGTTAGTGACGAGGATATTGCAGATAGAGAAGAGATAATATCAAAAGTGCAGAAGGTAAAAGAGAAGTTGCACTTAGGAATTCCAGTTACTTACCACTCTGATGATGAAGTTGATAGAAGACAAAATGAAGGTGATGATCATGAGGATTTCAACTCAAGTGATGATGGGAGTTATGAAGGAACTGATGAGGATGATGAAGTTGCTGATCATGCAGTTCGTAGAAAAAGTCTCTTTACTAAGTTCGATCCGACCTTGGAGACACCATTCTTTGAACTTGGTATGATTTTCACAAGCATGAATGAAGCTAGAGAAGCAATAAAGAAGTACTCTTTGGCTGCCAGAAAAGGTGTGAAGGTGAAGCAAAGTGATCAAAAGAGGGTTAGGGTGGTTTGTAGATACAAGGGTTGTCCATTCGTGATGTTGGTTTCATGGTGTAAAAGGGCAGATGCCTTTCGCATAAAGACACTGAAGTTGCATCGATGTGGGCTGCATTTCAAGAACAAATACTGTAGCCCAGCTGTGATTGCAAAGAAGTATCATCGGAGGATTAGAGCACATCCACAATGGAGGCTTAAGGACATGAGAGAGACAACTAAAGAAGAGTTGGGGTATGATGTGAATAGGATGACTTGTTCACGTGCTAAGAAAATCGTTATGCATTTGAATCAAGGATGCTACAAGGATGAGTATGCACTTCTATGGACTTATGCTGAAGAGCTTAGGAGAACTAACCCGGACACAACTGTCCGTATCATGGTAAATCGAGACAATCCCGAAGGGAAGCCAAAGTTCCAACGAATGTATATATGTTTCGGTGCCATGAAGAAGGGTTTCTTAGCTGGGTGCAGGAAGATCATTGCATTAGATGGCTGCTTTCTTAAGGGTTTATGCAAGGGAGAGTTACTTGCTGCTGTTGAGAGGGATGCAAATGACCAAATGTATCCTATTGCATGGGCTGTGGTTGAAGTCGAGTCGAGAAGTTCATGGGATTGGTTTCTGAAAGAGTTGAGAGACGACTTAAGCATCAATGAAGGGGCTGGTTGGGCCTTCAGTTCAGACCAAATGAAGGTAATTATGGCTGATTTATTATTGATGATTCAAATTGTGCATAAGTAGTAAACTTGTGAAGGCAAACTAGTGAGTTGTGTATGAGATCTAAAACATGATGGTGGTACTACTTTTGACTGCTTTCTATAGTTTTCTCCAAATGTAAGTAATTTGCAGCTAAGTGTGTTCAATTAACAGAAGCTTGATGTTTGCTTCAGGGTCTTGTTCCAGCAAAAGTTGAACTCTTCCCATCTGCTGAACATCGGTTATGTGCACGACATATATATAGCAATTGGAGGAAGAAGTTTCAGGAATCGAGCATGGCAGAAGATGTTTTGGGCATGTGCTAAGGCGGCAACTCCAATTTCATTTGACAGAGCATGGCAAAGATTAGCTGCTGAGAATAAAGAAGCTGCAAGTGCATTGCTTTTAATTGATCCGAAACACTGGTGTCGATCCTACTTCTCTACAGAGGTAAAATGTGATACCGTTGACAACAATATGTCTGAGTCATTCAATGCATCCATCTTAGAAGCTAGATATAAGGCCATCTTCAGCATGTTAGACGATCTTCGTGTGATGGTTTTAGAGATGGTTGCTAAAAAGATGACATTGGGAAATAAGTGGAATGACTTATACTGCCCAAAGATATTACAGAAGTTCAAGAAGAATGCTGTTGAAAGTGACTTTTGCCACATTCTGTCAAATGGTCAGCATGGTTATGAGGTGAGGCATCTTGATGAAAGATTCACCGTGCAGCTTCTTCGACATGCTTGCTCCTGTAGAGCATGGGAATTGTCTGGGATCCCATGCCCGCATGCTATTGCATGTTTGGTCCATGAAGATAAAGACCCTGTCATGTATATTTCAGATTATTTCTCGATCCAAAACTTTCGAAATACATACCAGCATGCCTTGCAACCAATGGACGGTCCTAAATCATGTATCCAAAGTGAATATGAACCCATACTCCCTCCAGATTTTAGAGTGATGCCCGGGAGACCAAAAAAGAAGAGAGTGAGGAGTGCTGAAGAAAATGAGGATCAACAAAGGAAGAAAAAAAGAATCTACACTTCTGAAGAGTTGATGGCACCAGACAAGAATGATCCTTCCAAGCAATGCAAGACCGGGAGAGTTATTACTTGTAAAAGGTGCAAGCAAGAGGGACACAACTCTCGAACCTATAAAGACCAAATTCCCTCGACCTCAAACAAGAAGCCAAGGTGAAGTAGTCGATAGTAGGAAGTAACTCTGAAACCAAGTTTTGGTATTATTGATCATGTGAAGATATGGTGGAAGCAACTATGAACCTTGTTTCTGCAGGCTGTTACTTTTCTGCATTTTTCATTTTGTCTGTTTCTCATTGTCTTAAGCTGCATTATTTCTTTGCTGGACAAATGTATTTCCTGGATTAAGAGCATATATCTTCACATTCATAGAACTTTCTATTTGCTTATAATCTTTGCTGCCAGTTCTATTTGTTGATAATCTGGTGCAAGAGCATATGATCTAGTGTTATAGAGACTGATTTTTGTATAGCATACAATCTAGATACCAACAATTTAATTTGCATACAAGAACAGTTCAATCTGACAAGGGAAGAAACAATCTACGACAGCAGTTTATTCTGCATAATACAAACAAGACCGCTACAATGAGCAAGAAGAAAATGATTCAGTATTTGCAGCTTCCTCATTCAGGCAACTCTAAGCAACAAGAAAATGATTCAGCATTTGCAGCTTCCTCATGCTTTTCATTTTGCCTCCACCGTCCATGAATGCAGCCTCCTGCCGACGTTTGCTGAGGGCACGAGGGAGTTAAGTCACCTAATTCGACCGGGAGTTGGCGTCCAAACATCGCGGGAGAAGCCGGGAAGCATGCCCCTCTGCTGTGGAATCGATGGGAGAAACGGATGACTACACCCTTGCGCGCCGCCTTTCCTGCTCCAGCCGTCGACGAAAAGGAGAGAGCCGCCGCCAGGGATCGATTGCCTTTCCTGCTCCAGCCTTCGACGAAAAGGAGAGAGTCGCCGCCGCGGATCGATCGCCTTTCCTGCTCCAGCCGTCGACGAAAAGGAGAGAGCCGCCGCCGGGGATCGATCGGTGGCAAAACTTTCGGAGAGACTTCCATTTGAGGGGAGTCAAGCTTGACGAATGGTTTCCCGTGG